AGGATGACTTACTCTGCCCACATTTTTCTCTCTTAAAAAAATCGCGTAATTACAATCCCTTTTTAACGTTTACAAAAAATCTATTTAAATGTACTTGATCAAAAACCCCAATAGACAAATTTTACGCGTGAATCTTATTCTAATTTAACATCTCATCTTAAAGGGCGGTATTTTTACCCGGGCCGGCCAAAGAACTACATCGGGCCCTGCGACCCTACCGCGTAACTGAAGCCTCGGCAGGGTTTTATTGCCTATCGGGGCTTAGGTAATACGGTAATGTTGCGAGCGCAGTCGAATGACAGTGTATGTATGTGTTCCAGATGGCGGGGGCGGGCTGCGGCGGGAGGAACACCACTCCACATTGTCAAGGTACCTATGTACGCGTACGCTACACTCGTCACAAATGTTATCTCACGTCTGCTCAGTAACATATTTATTATTTCACAGCTGGTTAAGGATTTAGTTATTATTATTTTGAAGTAGTCACAGCACTCGCATCTTTTTTCTAATATATCGTGGCACCGGAAGTAGTAATATGTTCTGTAGTGTCCCTCCTGGTGATAATGTGTGTTGGTACAGCAGGTACTGGAGCGGGTCGGAGGAGTCCCGGGGTCCGTCGGGGGGCGGGGGCGGGGGCGCGCTGTGGGAGGACCCGGACTTCCCCCCCGAGCGCGCCCTGCCCTCCTCGCGCCGGCGCCCGCCCATAGTCTGGCTCAGGCCCTATGTGAGTTACACTGCACGTTGGTACATACCTGTTACATCTTAACCAACTTTTTGATTGAATCAGATCGACAGAATCATCACTGGACAATTGAAATTATACCACGTACTGTACATAATATGGTGTAGGTGCCATTTTCTAGTTTTATATTTTTTATTATACCAAAACCTATAATTGTTACGATGATTGTCGCTCGGCTGCCGACAAAAGGTCTTATTTCGTTATCAACTACGTTATACTCTGCTTTGAGTTTATATTTTTGACTGATATATATAATTAATTGATCGTAAGTAGTATTATGGTAGGTAGGTATGAGTATACGTGAGTATACGTCGAGCCTTCGCAGATCATACGAAAGATTATTAGTCGCATTTTAAGCAACATGACATTCCGTAATTTTTTAATACATTCTTTATCATATAATCAATGAAATGAGATGGCGATTAATACAATGTAACGGTGGGTGGGTGTATGAATGTGTGTACAGTAGGAGTAGTGTAGTCGGTCGGTCGGTCGGTCGGTCGCGTGCTGTGTTTTTGTCAGTTTCCTGGAAGTGATCGGAGCTGGTCACGTACGGGCTGCGCCGGCGCCGCCGCAAATTAGTTATACTCGGGTAACGACCACTGTCTTATGCGATGCGATTATTGCGCGTCGTTTTAACATAATCCTAATTGCATAAACGGTTATATTTAACCGTTCATGTGCCCGCCGCCCGCCGCCCGCCGCCCGCCGCCCGGTGATACACTCGGCCGGCACTTGAGGGTTCACCTTTCAATCGCCACCATCGAGCGACAATACTTTTCTGTGATTACGGAAGGTCCATCGGTCTACATTACATTGAATCTTAAAATATTTATAAGCGTATTTTTATATAAAAATATTGATGGTCTCATCTCTCCAAGTGATGTAGGTGTATAATAACGATAGCTCTCTAAAAAACTATACACGATACACATACAGGAAGCGTTGGGAAACAGCCAGCAACACTGGAGCTGTCCTGCGATTCTGTAAAAATCGAAGCCCGAATTCGAATTCATTCAGGTATCTGAATTCACTTCAAAAAGCGGCATCCGCTCTAACCTTAAATTGGTAATAACGTTTCCTGACATAAGCGAAGTGAGTTTCGAAATGACAGGAATAGTAAATTCAATAAATTTTGTATTGTATTTTATATAAAAAATGGAATCAATAGATTTTCTACACTTGAATTCGGACACATGAGTGAATTAAGGTTCGGGTTTGGATTTTTATAGAATCGCAGGGCTGTACAACTTATGGTCTGGGCGCATCGGATCTATACAAAAGACATCAACGCGCGACGCTTTTATAACATTTGTGACGTTATTCAAACTTTAATATTATTCAGTTAAATCTTAAATGCAATTAAGGACTATCTTGTAAGACTTTAGGAAGTAGTAATAACAACGCAGTGCCGAATAATGAGACAAATCGTTTTGAATCGCTCACACAAAGCTCATTAATATTTCTAAGGAAAAACAACTTTAGCAACTTAAATTTTCACTCAAAAGTACCGTTTATAAAATAGTTGTTGTACAAGCGCAATGTTTTTTGTTTATATTTGCGTTCCGTCCGTTGCTAATGAGCGGGCGTCATCGGACGGTTTGCATCACCCTCGGCCTCGGCTCGGTGCCATTTTTTGCTAGCGTCATGTCGCCACACAGCATGAAGATGGACAAATTAAAAAATACCGATCTAAATTATATAAAGGCCGCTGTGACTATTGTCGCACTTAATCCCGACGGCGCGCCGTTTAAAAGTCGGGATTAAGTACTAACCTTTTATACAATACTATACATTTCTAATTAATATGTTATTTTTATTATCTATATGTGCATGACTGATATCCAGCGGCACAGTGAGCAGTTTTATTTCTCATGAGTAATTTAGAAGGGCACACGTGAAAAATTAATTTTTACTTATAAAAATGAATTACGAAATCATTGTGGTCCCTCGATACACAACTCTTTAACACTTTAGCTAATGAAATCGTGTGGAAGTAGATACTAATTGCAATAATAAAGGTGTTGTCAAATACATTCATAATGTTATATTGATATCGAAGTATCGAATTCAGAGGTGGCCCATTTGGAAATAAATAAATTATAAACGACACCACATAATCACAGATTAAATAGATTTTATGATGGATAGAAACGATCCCAGGCTTTAAAGCTAATTTTTTATGGTAATTTTACCGGAAATCAAAACTGGGACTTAGGAAACGAGAATACATCTTGAAACGAGACTACAATGACTATCTGATAAACCATTCTTTTCTTTTCTTTTTATAAAGTCCCTTTAGTTTGAATATCGAGTCTCTTAGTAGTCTACTATTCAATAACAGTTGAACAGTAAACAATACTTGTGCCGAGGGAGGGGGAGGGATACGAGCATGATATGGCGGTAATAATGATAAGATGATGATTGCGGCCACACACTGGCGCGCCCTCGGCGTGCGCACGCGCATGTGCGAGATGTGACGGTCGGTGCCGGGTACAGTTTGATACAATTACGGCGGTTCAGCGAACAAGTAGCCCGCGCCGTACATAGATGATGAGCCACGAGACATTTCAAACATGTTCGGATAGTAATATTGCAACCAATGGAAATTACAGAATGTAGTGAACGGCGTTTAAATGAGGCATTAGCTCGTTTCCCGGACGCGCGCTCTCACTCGTTTCAATATTTGAACAGAAAGTAGGTATGGCTCGCGCTGGTATTGGCGACGAATCGGCACACTAACTCTTTTGCACCGCACAGAGGGCCTCCGGGCCGGGAGGTGTACTGTTTGTTTATTTTGCGGTCGGAAAGTGCGCGGGGCGCATCACATCAATGACGCGGTCCGCTTTTCCGATTTGCTCGCTTTGAATGTTTGGGTGACCACTACCGTATCACTGTCTAAGGGAAATGTATCAAGAGCGAGACCGAACAACTAGGTATTCGAATCACCCACTTCCGTCTCGGCTACTGGAACGTTGAACGGTCGATATATCAAAACGATAATCCCTGCGTCATCGATCGCCTGGGCCGCACCGATAACTGGCCCTCGGTGAAAGCCACTAATGTTGGAAAATTTAAATATAATAAACATAAACGGCAACTGCGAGGTGGTAATGGACGAAACGCTCCATAATGGTAAAAAGCTACTCGCATGTCACATATTATATACCTCCTACTTAATACTTAATATTTAATGCGCTAAAATAGAATAAGTATTCAACGAATTAATGATGGTCAATTGTATTTATTTAATCGTATGGCAAAATAACAAACGTCATTCTTATCATAGCATTACATCTAGGTAAATTGTTGTAATGTGTGTAGTGTATGTAGCATGTGCATGCAATGTTGTAAGTATGTAACGCTGTGCAGGACATGTGCTCGCGGCCCGCCTTCCGCGGACTGGACCCGGAGGAGGGCGCGCCCGTCGACGACACCGACCAACAACTAGCAACAAGGTCATTCATTCATTTATTCATTCACTCACTGCGCTTCATACAAATAAATACAAGATAAGATCAAACTATTTGCATTACTTAATTGGAGATTATCTGGAACAATAGGTGTTATAATAAAATTGATTGTCATGTCGTCGACATCGACGAATAAAACACGCGGAGCGTGTGTCTCATACATCCACCGAAGAAAACTTATACATAATATACATCATACAATTCACTTTGTATTTCTTCAATATTGTAGCATTATCGAGGACAACTCTGTAATAGGTCAAGACTGGCGTAGGTAGAGATACACTTCCCGAAAAGTGATCTCGACGGCGCCCACAAAAAAAAATGACAAAATTATATTCCATGAAAGTATGTAAACCTATTTATTTCTCTCTATATGTCAGTAAATATTTTAAACCATCATTGGCCGATCCCTATTCGACCGCCCGTCGGAGCTCCCGCTTAAAATTGTCTGCCTGTAATTTCACTCGATTAATAAATCACCGATTTAAAAAAAATCTGCATGAATTTTATACCAAAGAAAATTTATTTTCCGGTGAAGCCTGGAACAGTTTAATTTTTTCCAACCGCTTCTCACCCCGGGGCTGGCCGTTTCTATTTTAAACTCACTAATTTCAGTTCTCACATTTACACCTCTCGTACTTTTATTCCTAGTTTATTTATTTTTTAATATTAAGTAACAGCACATACTTTGATCCGGACGTCACGATTTTATGTATTATAATCGCAGAAATATTGAAGTGTTCCTTGTTTTACTACAACTGTTAACCGTGTGCGCGTGTGTGTAGATGGAGCGTGGAGGTGGGCGCGTGCGGCAGCGCAGCGCTGTGCGCGGCGGCGAGCGCGCTGTCGCTGACGCCGCGGCTGCTGGACCGCGTCGCGCCGCCGCAGCGCTTCCGCCGCGGGTACAGCGGCGCCTTCAGGTAAGGCGGCAGTACAGCGTACAGCGTACAGCGGGCGACGGCAGCACGCGCGACCGCTAACCGCCGCCGTGACTAGGTTCCAGTTCTGGGTGTTCGGCGAGTGGCGCGAGGTGGCGGTGGACGACCGCCTGCCCACGCGCGGCGGCCGCCCGCTGTACAGCCGCGGCGCGCTGCCCGGCGACTTCACGCTGCCGCTGCTCGAGAAGGCGTACGCCAAGTGAGTTTCATTACTAGAGGAGCGCTCCCGTACAAAAGATGCGCCAAAAAAGCGTACCACTCGATCAATCGATACGATCAAACTTTAAATTAAACAGTGTCAGAATATGTGCGAACGACAGAATGAACAGAAAAATGGGTAATTGACGCTGTATTGTCAGCTGTCGAAAATTTTATATTACGACAAATTACCCCTTATGACGAATGAACGAGTAATGTAGATAGATATATGATACAATAAAATCGATTACTGAAATACTGTTACTTTATTAATTTATTTACTCGAACGTGCCTCGAACATCATAAATACAAAAATAAAGACACTTTATCTAACATTTATGACAGTTGTAAATATGCACAGCATTGTTACAATCAAAATATTCCATATATATATATATATACATTATAAATTGTGGTAACCTGTTTGTTTCTCAAAAATCTTAGTTTAAGATAGATTTAAGTTAGCTTATGTTATGAAGCTTATTAGCTTATGTCGAAAATATTGTGGTCCGAACAACTAGTGCCCTGCTTTGTCTCCTATTGGCATGCCCTGCGACCTTGCCTGCCTTGGATATCAGTATTCTGCCTGCCTTGGCACGCTTGAGACCAGCATAGTCTATTATCTAATGAGATGGACCTTTCAATACCTACAGTATTATATCAACCTTTTATTTTTCAACAAAAAAAAATCTAGTATTCAATTATGACATACTAGCTTCTGCCAGCGGCTTCGCTCGCGTATTACTAGGTAATGGCAACCTATGCATTATTACAGGTTATAAACTATATCTGTGCCAAAGAACAATAGTCAAAATGGACTACGAAAAAAAAAGTCCTTGTACCAAGATAGAACTGTCACCAAAATGTAGTATGAGTTGAATATAATTATTATATACCAACAATTTATTTTTAAAAGCTGGGAAAAGAAAGATAATCCTCTCTAAAATATGTTTTTATTTTTTAGAACGCAGTTTAAATTATGTTATTTTTGAACGCATCTTATTAATAATGTCATTCCTAGAGAAGTCCCTCTCTTTTCAAAGAACAAGATCGATTTTATGTCTGACTAATCGACTTTGATACAAATCTTATATTATTGCTTAACCATATAAATCCGTGAAAATTATAAAACTTAGATTAGATTACTAATATAATTAGATGTTACTTAGTTAGAGGTAAATAATTTATTTATAATGAAATTAAAAACAAATGATTATTTAAAAGAATCGATATTACAGTATTCAATCGATTGCGACCTCCCTTTTTTAGACAAGTATGTGTAGACGTGTTTCTACGCAGACCGTTTTGTAACTTTGGCGGTGATTTTGTATTATCTTCTGTATTATGGGGAGCATACTAGGTACCATGGGCAGTATAGAATTGAGGTCTGGAGAGAAATACCGGATTCTCTGGATTTATTAGAATTAGACTTAAATATAAATAAAGTCCTAATTATAAGGGGTAGAATTAAGTCGAGACATTGGGTGGAAACAATATTATGTGTACATTTAAAAAAATAATGACACATCCGGGTTAGATGGCATAAGAGAACACTGCTGTAATTGTCTTATTGGTCGATGTACACTGGGATGCTGTGCTCATATAATGACCATAGTTTGGTATCTTGGATGGGCCAGACACAAACAGAATGTAGCTGCTCCTGCAGCATTCTGTGATGAGGTATTCATTAGAGTTGTAATGAAGAAAAGAAAAATCAACATGTTGTTTTATTATATCCTTTTGAAATTTGTATTTTCACTACTACTTTATATAAGTTATAGTGTAAGGTAGAAAAGTAGAGTTATTGAGAGCAATCTTAAAAATTCTATAATTTTTTTGATGTTCATTGGTTCACAAAAAATAATTTTATTTCTTACAGTCAATAAAAATAATATATCAGATATGGAGCAAGTTTGAAGTATTAAGTGAAAGTATACACTTCTAGGACTACGGTTAGGCATTATCTGACGTGTGCTTTACATATTTCAACTGTAATACCTCTAACTCAAAATGATACAGTTAAAATAATACGACATAACCTCAAAAACATATCACACGATTACTCGATACTCCCAGCTTTTAAAAATATATTTAATGTCTTTCTTTGTTCTAGTTGCATAGGCAAACAAAATAACATATGTTTCATCAAGTTACGTTTTATTCGATTTTATTAGTCCAAGCATGTTAGGCATATGGCCATTGCTCTTTAACCCAAATCCGTTTTTGCGTGAAAGAGTGACAAACTTCCATGCCTCCATCCATGCTCATAACCACAGCAGATTTGCTGTCATTTGTTGAAGAGTTCCTTTGTGTGTCTCTGAAAATCTTCATATTCTTCTTCGTCATCTTCTTCTTCATCGCGAAACTAGAAAGGGACCTCCTCAAAATATTACGATGCTCTTCCAAACCATTATATACAGCTTTTTTGTTACTTTTTGTTTCATTTTACATCGATAAATAATATGTACGGTTCGTACACCTTTTTATGATAGAGAGAGAGAAGTAAAAGTCTTGATATATTAAAATTGATATATTGTAACAAGTAAACTAAAATTACTGATATATGGAATGATAATGATATGAGTACGCGCGGCGTGATTGATTACCGATGACGAACTAACTACAAATTGACCTAAATTAATGAATGTAGCGTAAAATGATTACTAGACAAAACTGTACGAGTTGGCTCGTACATGTTCCCGGGCCTGAGATAGGAGAGGGTGGGAGTATTAAGAAATGATTATGAATGACGTGCGACAAGATGATATACATTGTTAACTTATTCTACTAACAAGGTGATTAAACAATATTCTCTTAAAATCTTTTAAAATTAGAGTGAGAAATGTCTGGTAAACGTCGGAGACGTAGACCTATCTTTTGATACCGACACACGCGCACTTTTTGTTTTTACACTATTCACGATAGCACTTTCACTGCACTGATTATTTGAGCTATCTTTACACGCACTAACTACACTAGCACAACACTGAACTGAAGAAGGACTAGCATCGCTAGCCAGAGTTGCGACAGGCGGTGGCTCAGGCGCCGTGCGCGCTCGCGCCAGGCGACGCCACACTATCACTGCACCCACAGTCACTCCGGCACCCAGTACCAGATATATGACCACGTAGTGATGAACGTCGTGATAGGATATACGTTCGGCTAAAGTGTCGTCGTTCGCGTCAACTTCCAAATTCTTTATCTTCTGCTCTATTTCTTTTATATATCTTTGATGATCAGAAAATGATATCGATGTCGATTCTATGTGATCGACAGGAACTGAGATATTTAAAATGTGATTGATCGGCGGAATATCGATTTGAAGGACATTCAGAGTCTCATTCAAAACATTTGATAACTCGTCTCGAGAGTAAATTGTAAAGGTATTCGATTTAATTATACATCCATTACTTAATGTTATTATTCCTACTTTGTATAACTTTGTAGCGGTAACATGATCTTCACATATGATCCGCACGTTACAATAATTGCAACAGAAAAATAGATAATTATTAGTTTTGTGAAGTTCTACCCATCTATCTTGACATAATGCAGTGCTAGTCTTACATTGTGTAGAATTCTGATTTTTAACACATAAATCGTCACTTGAATCCATATCAAATACAGGTTGCTTTAATGAACATATAAGTTCGCTATTAAAGACATCGCAGCTTTGTATAGCTGAATGCGTCATACGAATATAGGTATCTTTATGTAAGTTCATTGCTATGTAATCTGATATTGGCGTTATTGTTTTAATATTATCTTCTAATTGCTGTGGAATAGGTATTAGTTTGTAAATTTCGTAATTGTCTCGACTAACTAAGGGAATTTTTACTTCAAATATGATAAAGGTTTTCAGGGCTCTCGCTTTTACACTAAGTAAATGATACATACTCGAGAGATCTGTCTGAATGTTGTTTATCGGCAACGTTAACTCCTTTGATAATAAACTTGATATGATACTAAACTCGTTGAGTAGCTGTTCTGGTGTGAGAAGGTGAAAATTAAATCTTCCGTGGTAAGTATCCGTAATAGAATCGATTAAAGTTTCTTGAATATGTCGCAAATTTACTATTAGATTATTGGCGATAACAGAGGACGTAATAAAATCACTGGAATACTCTAAAAGTTGTATCTCATCTTCTTGTATATTCAGTGCTTTTTCTAAATTATTTAAATGAGTGTTAAAAACTTTATGTTGCTTGTCGATGGTTTGTTCTATTCTCTTGATCAAGTTAAACTCGGCTTCCACTATCGAAGTTTGATTTTTCCATAGGTTTGCTAAGTGTTTCTGATTATATCTAAGAAGCTCTATATCTTTTTCATATTTTTGAGCGAAGTCACTATCAAGAACTCCGAATAGCTGATTTGCAATGTTTCCGATCCCATTGATAAGACCGCGGCGGAGTCGCGTGCGCGCACTCGGCTCACGTCCTGGGAGCTGCTGACCGAGCAAAACACTGTTGTAATGCTCGAGCTCGGTGAACCCGTGATGTAATTGGAGTAGTATAATGTTGCATTGTGATATCTTTTTATTGCCGGTAGTGAAACATGTGTTTTCAAGGTGATTTATATATTTACTTAGTAATGCTGTTCCCGTCCAATATGGAGACAAATCATAGTAAATTACTAGTTTCCACTGGTTTCTCTCAATACGTACATTAGCAATTTTATCAAAATATACACTTTGCCTGGTATTTAGGTTGGATGTTTTGTATTTACAGAATGCTGATCCACTGAATGATAATATAAGTGTACATATGATGAATAAGTAATTAAATAAATTGATACTTTTATGAACTTTTCTCGGTTTCCCTTCCACTGTTGCGGCTGCTGTCGTGATATTTTTTACTTTTGATTTCGCAGTACTTTCTTGCTGATTTGGCTGTTCTTCGGTAGCTACTGGTAATCTTGATATTTTTATAATTGGCCTTTTGATTATACCGTTTTTTGTTTTAATTGATACAACTCGCACATAACCGTCACTTCCGGGATGTAAGGCTATGATACGACCGAGTGCCCATTTTCCTGGAGGAAGGTTAGCATCGTGTATTAGGACTACATCATCAACTTTGACATTTTCTTTAGGTTGACGCCATTTGCATCGAGACGATAACTGACATAGGTACTCAACTTTCCATCTTTTCCATATATCGGTAAATATTTTCTGGGTTAATTGCCATCTTGTTCTCAGGTCTCTCTCGGTTTCTATGATGGTTAATGTGGGTCCACTTGACAAAAAATGAGATGGTGTTAGATAATCGATATTTTCAATGTCTTCAGTCAGAGAACATAACGGTCGGGAATTTAGACAGGCTTCCAATTGCGATAAAAGGGTTGAATATTCTTCGTATGTTAAGTTTTGCTCTCCGATCACTCTTTTGATGTGATATTTCAGGCTTTTAACAGCCGCTTCCCATAGGCCTCCGGCAGTGGGCCAAGATGGGGCGTTAAAATGCCAATTTATTTCCATATCTGTGATGGCAGTGAAAAAGTTATTATCTAATGTCGATTGCAAGTTAATAAATTCTTCATTGAGACTGCGACATGCACCCACGAAGTTTGTGCCGTTGTCGCTATAGATGTTGCGAGGGGCACCTCTTCTTGCCGCCATTCTTCTCAACGCTGCTAGAAATGATGATGAACTTAAATCTGATACTAATTCTATGTGCACAGCTTTAGTCACCATGCACACAAACACTGCGATGTACCCCTTGTTTGTTTTGATACCTCGGCCTTTGTTGGCTTTGATATTTACGAAGCCCGTGAAGTCGACTCCGCAGTTATAAAATGGTCTTGTTGGAGTAACGCGAGCTACGGGTAGGTCACCCATCATCTGACTATGTTTTACAGGTTCGTGTCTTTTGCACGTTACACATTTTCGAAGATTTTGTTTGATTAAACGATTTCCACCTATGATCCAAAACTTTTGTCTGGTATATGATGCTGTTAGTCTCGCTCCGCCGTGAAGACAAGTTTTATGATAATGATCGATCAACAGTTCTGATAAACGGCTACTTTTCGGTATGATAATGGGATGTCTCATGTTTGGATTGATATTTGCATTTTTTAATCGTCCTCCGACTCTAAGGAGACCGTTTTTATCTAAAAAGGGATTTAATTCACATATTTTGCTCTTCGGGTGAATAGTATTTCCTGATTTTAAGCAACCAATTTCTTTCTGAAATTCAAGGTGCTGGACATTCTTTATAATGATATTTCTTGCTCTTTCTAACTCAGAAAGTGTTATGTAGCTTTTCTTTTCTCCTTTCGAAATTAAATAAAAACAAGAACATCGTCAATATAGCGTAATACGTATTATTAGAGATAACACAAAAAGTACTTATTAGATATCGCTCAAATTTAAATGGGACCACACGGCAGGTACCAGCTTTCGAATATAAAAAGAATCATCAAAATCGATACATCCAGTAAAAAGTTATGTATGAGGTAATAAACACAAAAAAAATTATAAAAAATACAGTCGAATCGAGAACCTCCTCCTTTTTCTTGAAGTCAGTTAAAAAACTAAGACAAAAGACGAAAGTTTCAGGAGCTTCACATTTTTGGTATGGTATAAATTATCTGGACGGTATGGTATACGTGGCACGGCGGGCGTGGGCGTGTGCGCAGGCTGTACGGGTCGTACGCGGCGATGCGCGCGGACGAGAGCACCGCGCGCGCGCTGCAGGACCTCAGCGGCGGCGTCGTGCAGAGCTTCCCGCTGCAGCCGCGCGCGCTCCCCGCGCAGCTGCTGCACGCCGCCCTGCCGCGCTCCACGCTGCTCGTGGCCACCCTCGCGCCCGGGGCCCGCGTCTGCTGCCTCACGGGACTGGCGCGCGTGCGGGGCCACGACGAGGACCGCGTGCTGCTGCGCGCGCGGGCGGCGGGCGGCGGCGCGCGGCCGGGGGGCGCGTGGGGGCCGGGGGGCGCCGAGTGGCGCGCGCTGCCCGCGCCCGACCGGGACCTGCTGGCCGCGCGCCTCACGCACCCCGGCGACTTCTGGTACCTACGCTCGCCCTCCGCCTCGAACGCGGTCATCGAACGTTCTATATTTGATTCGGCGAAATCGCAGGATGTCGCTGGAGGAGCTGCGGCGCGAGTTCAGCCGGCTGGAGCTGGTGCACGTGGGGCCGGACGACTGGCTGCGGGAGGGGGCGCTGCGCCCCCGCGCCCCCTGGCGGGCCGTGCTGGCGCGCCGCCGCTGGCTGCCGGGGTACAACGCGGGGGGGCCGCCCGCCACGGGTACACACCTATCCTCGCTTCTTCGGAAGTTAAAACGTTCACATCTCGACAACGAATCCCAGTACTTTTGACTCTTACCGACTGCCCCCTATTCCATAAAAAAAAACCGGGCCCCGTCACTTTCGAGGGATGATTCACCTCGTGCAAAATAGTTAAATATTTGAATTTTACCGTATCCGTCCGGCCCGAGTCGGTCGCCCCCGTTCGCTGTTCGAAAGCGATTCTATATTTTAATAAGGTACGGACGTCCAGCATGAATAAAAAGGTTAGAATGATAACTTATGTACCTACATAAATGTTAGGAACGAGCGCGCCAGTTACCATATAACGTCACCTACTCAGCGCTCCATTGACTACAAAACTGTCAACAAAAGTATTCTATACGGACGTAATAATACAGTTGATTTTACGGTAATACACAAGACGTGTTACCAGCTATAACAAAAATATGCACAATTAATTTCGTAAGTTCTAAATAGTATAATTCAAACGCAAATACTAAATTTGCTTGTGTGCAAAAACTTTAAAAAATTATAATGGATGATGTCATTGAAAATTTTAAATTATAGTAGAATAGTGAAGTGCCTTGTTATTCACAATCCGATATCGATAATTAGAATGTTATACTGGGTTGAGATTCTAAAATGATTTATTTTATTTATACCATTTTGCAACTGCCATAAAAATGCTGCCATAATTATCTCAATTGTTCGATTTTTAATGTTGTTAAAACTAAAACAAGAAAGCGGGGGGGGGGGGGGGGCGATTCAAACAAGAAAGCGGAGTCTCATTACGTCACTGTTTTGTAGAAAATGTTCAAAAGCAATTCTACCTTCTTTTCAGACTCCCACTTTCACTACGCAAACGGCACGTAATGATTGAACAATTCGGCATATTTTTGCATTTCGCCCCGCATCTCGGGCCACAGGGACACCGTGCAAATGGCACACGGGGCATGCGAGCGACGCGACGTCCATATGACCGTCCCTCGTCTGTTGCATGCGCAGAGACGACGAGCACGAATCCCCAGTTCCACGTGCAGGTGAGCGGCGAGGCGGGCCGCAAGTGCCACGTGGTGGTGTCCGTGACGCAGCAGTACCGGCCGGGGGGCGGGGGCGGGGGCGGGCGTGGGGGGCGGCTGCACGCGGTGGGCTTCGCGCTGTACGAGCTGCCGGCCGGCGCCGCGCCGCGCCGCCCGCTGGCCGCGCTGCCCGCGCTGTGGCCGGGCGCGGCGCACGCGGCGCACGCGGCGCACGCGGCGCACGCGGCGCACGAGGCGCACGAGGCGCGCGCGCGCGAGGTGGCGGCGCTGTTCGCGCTGCCCGCGGGCCAGTACCTGGTGGTGCCGCACACGCGCCGCGCCCACACGCGCGCCGCGTTCCTGCTGCGCATCCTCACCGACCGCAACACCGCCGTCTGGTAACCGTTTCGCTCTAAACTAAAATTAAGGATCCCGCGATTTGTTTCAGTCGGCGCTCGAGGTGCCGACCGTTTTTAAATACAAAATTAGACTCCGGGTGGTATCCGAGTAGAAACAATAAACTTTTCCTTTCACGAACTCGCTGAATCGTTCCCGCTGCCTTCTCGTCTTACATTTTCCAAAATTTTCCGCCGGGGCCCAAAGCGACGCCTCTCCTAGATTACCCCGGTGGAGGTCGGTTTAGTTGTCGTCGTCGGCCTTCGGTCTCGTCTGGAGCCCGACGGGGCATCGAACGGGGTTTTTAGATTTCTTCCTTTAGCTTAATATTTAGGTCACTTTATCTTTTATCCTCGTTCTCATTTTTTCCGCTTTCAAACTTTGAAATTTTTTGATCATTGCAATTTTCCTTTCTTCCTCGCCCTCGCCGATGATCCTTCGGTCTCTACATTTATGTATTTTGTCAATTTCGATTTCTCCCCTCTCGGTCTGAATACTTTTTAATTGTAGCGTGTACACTTCCACCCTATTACAAAAAATATGTTTAGTTTAATAAAATCAGCCAAAACGCAATATTCGTCTAATCGACACGTACTCTTAGGTCCCTACGTCGCATAAATCTCAAAAGGCCTATGTTCTGTTGCAGGGAGGTGAACGAGGATAATATGATTATTCGGGATATAGCAACCGAGTGCACGGAGGACGAACAGCTCCTGCCGGTAGTGTTACTGGAATATTATGTTTTTTTTATATTTAGACCCTTCTTTTTACATTTGTTATAAAGTACTTTAAAAATTAGGGTTCATTTATTTATTGAAATTCAAACTAGCTCATAATATGTTTACGTTAAAAGTTACATAAATTAGGAATAGTACTCGTCGTAAACTCGATATCGTCGATTACGTTTTAATACAGATACTTCGATGCGAATTGCAAATTCCTCCCGGGTTACTCGAGGATACTCACACGGAACTACAAAGACACGGGTGAAAAAAAAAAAGAAAAACGGGCCGTTATGTTTCATCGATGTATATATTCGATGGTTTTATTTTTATGCGACGTCAAACGGATCCTTTTTTTATTTTCAGGCGGAAGTGCGAGCGGTCATCGCTCGAGTTCGAGCGAAGATCGGCGACGAGGAGGTGAACGAATAAATAGTTTTTTATATACGGGCGACGGAATCGAGTCTGCGAATGCGAAACGGACGGTCGAACCGGGGCGGGGCCGGGCGCTCCGATCCGCCTCGGGAAACCTGAAGTCTGAGGCGAATTTCACTTAAAATGTTTTAACCGGCACCGTCATCTGCGACAGATAGACATCGCGCAGGTGCGGCGCGTGGTGCGCTGCGTGTGGGGGCGCGCGGCGGACGCGGGGGGCGCGCGGGGGCCGGCGGGCGCGGCGGCGGCGCTGCTGGCGCTGCACGACGCGCGCGCGTGCGGCCGCGTGCCCCCCGCGCTGCTGCCGGCGCTGGCGGCGCGGCTGTGCGCCTGGCGCGCCGCCTACCGCGCGCACGCGCCGTCCGCGCCGTCCGTGCGCCTGTGCGGGCCCCCCGCCCCGCCGCCCGCGCACGCGCTGCGGCCCATGCTGGCCGCCGCCGGGGTCACCGCCTCCAACAAGGTACCGCAGAAACTATACATTCTCGTGATCCATTTTAAAACCGAAAACGCTTCCATGTTTATTTCGCAACTCGAGAACGACAGAACGAAATTAATAATCTACGACTTTCTATATTATTTAAACCGTCATCCGATCGTCGTTGTGATAGATTGAAAAAATAGACAACGAGGCTCCCGGACGTTTAACGTGAAGCGGTCTCGAGCGACTCTTCTGTCGACCTAGTTTAGGCGGAGCGATAATATTTTACTAGTTCGCGTATTGGTATTTGTAATTTCAGGGCCTTTAATAAAGACCGCGATGGAGCGCGTCCCTCTTGTCGTTTTTGTCCATGGTTTTCCGCATTCGCATCACCTTCAAAGTGTAAATTAAAGTACACCCCTCCCCCAGGTGCTGGAGTGCCTGGTGGTGCGGTGCGGGGCCCGCGGGGGGCGCCTCACGCCGCGCGGGTTCCTGCTGGCGCTGGCGCGGCTGCACCTGGCGCACGGTACGCGCGGGCGGCACAGTTGACCTTCGGCACCCCTCCCCCCAAATTAGAAAGAAACATAACTCCCTCCCGAACACCGAATATCAAATTTGTGCAGCGTTCGTTCGTGAACGTGATGAACGCTTCTTTGTTTCAGAACGGTACCGCGCCCTCGAGGCCGAGGTGAAATCGAATCCGCTCTCGTTGGAAGAAGTCTGTATCGGCGACGGTGAATTTTGACTTTCGAGGTGACGCCGGACGTTTAATCGAATTGTGATATTATTAATTATGTTTCAGATGATTCTGATGACGCTATATTCATGAGGCGGGGCGCGGCCCCCGCCCGCTTACCAAAGAGTCCTGCCCGGGGCCGGACGCCTGGAACGCGCAGTACAAATCTGATACTCGAATCGATCACTCGAGTCGGTTCTATTACACCACGACAGTATCCGCTTGTTCGTTGTCGGAATAACTAAATGTGATATTGTTATAGAATTAGTATGATCATCGAATATTTATATTTAACGAACGCTTTCCAGAATCACGGTGAAATATTCCTTCTCTCGTATCGTTGTTATTTGTTGATATTATATATAGTGTATGATAATTTATTAAGAGCAATTATTGTATTAACTTTTTAATTGTGGTGCTAACACATATAAATATTAAAAATCCAGTCTTTTTATCATTTCACCGACTTCCGATCCCGACCTGGCGGGCTCCTTCCCGGATCCCGGTTCCCCCCTCTCCCGGAAGGTTCTTGTAGCGAGTTTAACCGGGCAGCCCGGTTAATAGATAAATGACTGGTAAAGCTTGACGAAATGTCACTACGCCTACTATAAAAAAAAACCTGTTGTGTATACATCCTGTGGTTTTTCGACGTCGTCTACAATAGAAGTTGAAACCGAGCGAAGTTAATTTTATTTCACCTCCTGCAGAATAGAGGACAGTGGTGCTCGAGTAAGAAATATCCTTTGAGGACTTTGTTACGTGCGATGATGAAGTTATGATCGCTAGCACATTATCTAACGAAGAAATTAGCGATTCAGTTGAGGAAATTGATACTAAAAATAACAAAGCAGAGTCGGTTAACACTACGCTCTCCATGGCTCGATGAGTTCCCATCAAAGAAGCAAGTTCCGCATTAAATACTTGACAGAATTTTATAGAGCAAACTAGCAACTCTAAAGAAAAATAATTTTCAGCTCTTTACACTTTAAATATTGCCATAGATAGGGAACGATCAAATTATCTGAAGCATAAAATATTAATATTGTATATATATTTTTAATACCATATTTTTTAATTACCTAATGTTGATTTATAAAAAATAACAACATTTAATAAAAAAATATCATATGTACGGTCAACAGCAGGTCAAGGTACTTGCAGTTCAATATTACCACAAAGTTCAAAATGAAATAGTCTGACATGCTATTGTCTGTAATTATGTAGGGTCATAATGTCAAGGTTTTTTTTCTGTTTAGAGGGTTTCACGTTTATCCCTTTTTGCATTATTTGTGGACAATTAAGTCATAGCTTTTTAATTTGTTTTTAAGCTTTTTACTTTCATTTTTTTATTATGTTGTGTCGGGGGTCTTTTAAATTTTTTATTTAACTGTTTATTTTTTCTTGTTATTTAGACAATATTCAATTAATTTGCCGATTATCTTTTTCTTGTTCTTTCAGTTTTTCTACTTTCGTACAAGTATTTCATGTTCTTAGGTATTTCAGATCTAGTTTATAAAATGGGACTCAATTCTATTAAAAGAGTAATAACATTGGTCATCCCCACTTTTACTCCCCCCCTCCCTCTTACACAGATTTAAATCTAACTTACCGTATAATAATATAAGTTCAAGTAACTTCACGCTTTCTATATGTAGGCGGGTAGTACAATCGATGCGCCGACATATAGGTAATCTATTCTAATATTATTAAGCTGAAAGTTTGTTTGTTTGTTTGCTCAGGAACAACTGGTCCGGTTTGAAAAATTCTTTCAGTGTTAAATTGTTGTAACCCAACATGTGGCTGTCTGTACATGTGGAATAGCTCGGTGGCGTAGTGGATAAGCGCCGCGGCCCGCGATCGTAGTCGTTAAGCAACTTTCGCAAGGGTCGGTCACGGGATGGGTAACAAAAAATTATTATCTCAAGCTACTCCGTGCTTCGGAAGGCACGTTAAGCCGTTGGTCCCGGCTGCATTTGCAGTCGTCAATACCCTCCAATCCGCATTGGACCAGCGTGGAGGGTCATGGCCCATCCTCCTTAACCATCCATAAGGAAGGCCTGAGCCCCTGCAGTGGGGACGTAAAAGGGCTGGTGATGAACATGTGGCTGTCTGTACCTATTATATAATATCGCACTTTTATGATGGCGACCATCTTGGATTTGTAATTTGTCATAGTGTACCTATAGTATTCTATTTGATATCCGTATTGAGGGAACCGTGATAAAATATGTAGGTAAACTAACATTTTTTTTTGGATCTGGGATTTGAAATTTGTCACAGTGTTCAGTATTCTACTACTCAATACCATACCATACCAATACTCAACTACTCAATACCATCGATACCCATATTGAAGGAATCGTGACAAAATATGTAATCCGACATTTTGTGGCGGCAGACATCTTGGATCGATTTTCATCAAACATAGTGAAGAACACTCCCGACTAATACACCTTTCAAACAGAAAATTCAAAATCAAAATCGTTTCATCCGTTCGGGAGCTATGATGCCACAGCAGACACACACACGCACACACACACACACAGGTGAAACTTATAACCCCGTCGTTTTTGCGTCGGGGGTTAAACATATTTAAAAATATGTTAGCCTCTGCAACGACTTTTTATTTATTTTACATCTCTTACTCAAAATTTATAGAATGAAATTAAACCTTATATCGAATCAAAAAAGTCGAAATCCTCCATAAGTCGAAAATTTTCACCTTCACATAATGGTTCTTACAACCTTAACCAACCAACCAACCACCATACATTATATTATATTTAGTACCAACTTGTACTAAATATAATGTACTAAACGTCTTTATTATTACATCTATTTACCTATTTTGCTATTGACAAGGTTTATTTGAGAGAATATTGTCTCACATGCAGTGTTATAGATTGTACAGTAGACGTTATTTTTGCAATAATATCAAATACTGCTAGATTTTCAAAACTGGCCACAAGCCAAGGCCTATAAGGGCACAATCCTACCAAAGTGGCAGGAAATTGCCACATATGGTTACGCTATCGTACGGAACGGTGCGATGTGCCCTCTATACCATCGAACATACGACGGACCTCACCGGCTACGAAGGATTTCCTTTACGGAACTGTTAGATCAGGTCGTCTATTAGCAATATTAGCAACGTTCAACCCTAGGTATTATTAGCGTCTTAAATTGACACGCTAAGCGCTAATTTAGTCACTTCTCTAACACTCGTATCGATAGCATGAAGCTAAAGAAATATCTACATGATCGATAGTCCATAGATTATACATTAAGGTCTATACAAGTATCATGTATAATCTATGACAAGTATATATGTATGACTATTGACTACGAGTGTCAATGTCATTTTTTAATCAGCTGTCGGTGTCGAACGGAAGTTGACGTATCCGTTAGAAGTAGATTATATTAAAATGAATTTTGAAGATATTAATTAAAAAAACACTGTTAGGTATCTTGTCACAAAATGGAAGCTTTAAATAATCTAGTAATAAAGTTAGTGTTATTTGTAAATGTGGTTAGTTCGTCAACTGTATCGCAACACAAATTGAGTGAAGTGAAGTTGTTTGAAACACCGGCGTTATACGACGTGGAAACAACACTGTTCCTCAATGATATGTCCAGGACAGACAAGGAAATCAGTTACAAGATCAAGTCCCAACTCGCAGTACAACCCCTTTGGCGGAACACAAATTCAGAATTCTTATTGAAACTGCAGGTATAATAAAACACAACCTAATTAGGTATTTTATTTATTTTATATCATAGGTCTTTGAGTACCGTACTAAGTTCACTCACGTATAACAGTGAATGCAAACCAAAGTTACTTAATTTATTTATTACAGTTACTGGAGCCTAAGCTATATCTTCGTGGTAAACATCCTAATGCTAACTTCATGGCGCACCCCTCCGTGTGGGACTCACACAGTGACTCTTTGTTCTATGTACACTGGAAGAATGGACTTATTCAAAATTCATATCTAGATCTCAAAGAGTTGCCAGATTTCATCAATTATAAAAAATCTATAATTAGTTTATTCCAGGTAATCTTACAATAATTACTACCATGATGTACTTAATAACATTATTTCTATTTTACAATAATGTATTTGTTAAATTAACAATTATATTCATGGGCGTACTCAGGCTCTGGGTGTTGAGGGCTGATTTTACACACTATACAAAAGCCATGTATTTTAAATTCTAAAATTTCACTTACAGCTATGTATGGCCTAGTAATTTTCAAAATTTATTGCATAATTAAACAAGACAAGTCTTCAATTAGTGCCCGAATTGTTACTGTCTTTTAAACTGATCTCGAGAGGTCATGGAACAAGGAAGGAGGTGTGATGCACACTATTAAATACTAAATGCATTTTTCCTAAGTGTCACTATGCATGCACACACATAGCTTCATATAATTATGCATTGGTGTCTTGTCCATACACATTAAAATGGCATGAAATAAGTAATGCCAAGGCATTATCGATATCTCCATAGTGGTTTTGGTGGGTAGGCCTCCTGGTGATGGAGGACAGTCCGACAACTTTAACAGGGATTGTGCTTAAAGCATTTCCCCCATAAATAAAAGAAGGACATTAATTTCTATTTCAACAAGTTCTGTTGATTAACACATTGTATATGTAAATATCAAAAATAACTGCATGGTTTCTATAAACAATAAACATGTAGTGTTATCTATATAGTTTTAATTTTAAGTAATTATTTACACCTACCCGCGAGTAAAGTACACTTAAGAAAAAAATATTTTACACAAAGCAAGTTCTCTGTTATGTTGCTGTATAGTCCCTATATTAAAATTCATCCATATCTTATTGCTATGGTAACAATCTACCAGGAAGAATGTGGACAATTGAAAAACTTTACCTGAATTTTCCTATACAATTTCTAAATAAGAATTTTACTATTTGATAACAAAACACTGGAAGTTGTCTTCCTCTATGTCTGAGTATTCCCATGATTAGGTGAGTATTAGACTCACCTATTATGTAGAAACTGTATTCTTATATTACTATCAGTATGCTAACAATGGTCGTAGTGAGCTTAGCAAATATTAATAATCATTCTGTTTTAACATAACAATTGATTGTCATTTTAGGCTGTTAAAAGCGGAAACGACAATGTCGTTCTGGCAGATAGTTATCGATCAGTAAACAAACTGACCGGCCTCTTCAGCTTCAGGTAAACTTGTGTCGGTCGGTAGCGGACGTAGACTTTTGTAGCGTCGTGTGATTGTGTTTATTTGCTTTCGGTTTATACAGAGATATCTGAATCGTCATCACATACAACATTCACTAATCGCTTCACGTAGAACACTCCGTCACGTCATACTAATAAGTTGCAAACACTCATTTTATTCTTCGGCGGAGCTCGTCTTACAGCTTTCAATAGATTCATAGAATTTTATGGAGTAGGGGGAGGACCTATCTGAAATTTTATTTAATTTCAGTTGCAAATAATCGACGGGGAATACAACGAGACCGACGTTTCGGGACCTTGTACCGTCCTGTACGAGTCTATATCACGAGATGTCTTTAGAAAAATAAAGGTAAGCGAGTACAATATATTAGGTCCTTACATATGAAATTGGCGTTTTGTTGTACTGACCACTTTAATCACAAATTTCTCCTCCTCGGTTGGGAATTCCAAGTTCAAATTTATACAGCCATTTACGCTACCAAATTAGAAGAACTTCAGTTGGAATGTCTAGAACATCCGCCGTACTCCCCGGATCTTGCTCGAACAGATTACCATTTTTTTCGAAATTTGGATAACTTCTTGCAAGGGAAAAAATCAACTCTGATGGGGCAGTGCAAATCGCCTTCAAAGATTTTATCGATTCCCGTCCGAATGGTTTTTTTTTTGGAAGGGGATCAACGAACTACCTATGAGACGGCAAAAGTGCATAGATAACAACGGGTTATACTTTGATTAAACAAATATATTATATTAACAAATATTCGACTTTTTATTCCTCCCATACCAAATACCATTTTCATATGTAAGGCCTTAATATAATATATGCTGGCCGGTGTACGGTACGCGAGCGTGCGTTTGCTTCCAGCGCGGGTGCTCGATGGACGCGGGCGTGTGGCCGGGCGCGGCGCGGCGCGTGTCCCGCTACACGCTGGGGGGCCGGGGGGAGGGGGGCGAGGGGCAGGGGGAGGGGGGGCTGCGCGAGGCGCACGCCGAGGAGCAGCTGGAGCTGGGCGCGCACGGGGCCGCCATCAAGGCGCGCTCCTGGCACCGGCTCCAGCTGGCCGCCGCCCCCGCCCCCGCCCCCGCGCCCGCCCCCGCCCCGCTCTCGGGCGCCGCGTCGCTCGAAGAAGCGCTCGCCGCTCTACCCGCGGAACTCTCCCCGGCACCCCTCACCCTCGTCGAAACAGAAACCGTCCCAGAAAATGACTTGGTCAGTATTGTGAACTCTTCCTTATATTATCCTCTTTGATGAAGAAAGCGATGGCGTTGTCCCAGAAACGGTGGTGAATAAAAATGTTGAACCACCGAGAGGCTCGAGTTCCGTAAATCTACTTAAAGAGATTTGTCCGTTTAATTAAACGTTGAATCATATTCTCCATTGTACGGCACAAGCGGGCGCTAGGTATGTAGCTATCGTAAGTTTGTTGAATAAGACGAGCGCGTTATCTCCGAACGACGATAACCGGCGACCTCTGACCGGCGGCGGCGGTCCCCCCTCACCCCGCCCCCGTCCCCGTCCCGCGTATCTCCGGGTCGCTTCTAACTTTTCGTTACACTCGACCGTATAAATAGAAATGCTATCGGTATCCGAGTACATAAGGTTCCGATTATTGTATGTACACACTTAAATGTGACAAATGCAAACAAACAATTTATTGTTATATGCATACATATTGAAAATTATTAGTTACTAGCTGGTTTCCCGCCACTTCGTCCGCGTAAATTATAGCCGTGTCAACCCCGTATAATGCTGCTACCCGTGGGTGAAAGCAAACAAACAAACAATGGAAGCTTTCTTCTTTATAATATTAGTATAGATTAAAAGCGAATGAATAGGTAACCTCTATCTGACCGAAGCGTTACAATATTGTGTGATTTATGTTATGTACTATTTGCTGATTTTATCTCAATGACGTGCACGCCGCTTGTGACCTAGCGTGACCCGATATAGCGCCATCACACGCACGTCCGATTTAAAAATATCACACCATAATTGAGATGCCGTATCCATCATCGGATGACTCATTATTTTATCTCAAAATAATGTTTAGTTAGTTATGAATTTCGTTAAGGCAATTTTAGAATATGGAACTCGTTAATTTCGTTATAATTTCTATCTACCACTGTTAACTTGTTTGATAAAAACAAAAGACGACAGATACCTACTCGTCAGCTGATCATTAGCCGCAGCCACACCGAGCGAGCCACAGGGCGGCCCTGCCCACTTATAGAATACTCGTTCATATAGCTGTTTATTTCTCTAGATTTCCCGATCGTGATCGAATCGTTCGATGTGGATTCTGCTAATCGATCGTTGAAACCCTTTATGTGCATGATTAATTCCTTACTTAACGATGCTAACGTTAAAATCAATGGAAATGTATTAGAATTAAACCGCTCCCTCATGGCTCGACGCAACTTCGAAGTGCACCGAGAGCGATAATAACGCACGAATCTCGCGCTATAAAAGTACTTTATAGAAATCGTAAGTGACTTTGCACAGATCTGCGATATCGCTTCAGATGTCTTGTATGTGTCGGACATACCTAGGTAATTTATTGATAAAGTAGGTACCTATAATGTACAAGAAATAGAAAAATATCCTTGTGTTATATAGGTTTATTATTATTTTTACATTTTAATATGTTATGTGTACATGCGTAAGCATAATAAGGTAGGCGTGTAAGATGTTATGCAGAAATCTAGGCATATGTAGTTACATATGCATTTATATTATATATTTATATACCTTTAGTTTATTTTTTATTTATTATACAGACAGCGTACGTAGTCTCAGTAATAATAGGCATAACCGTTCGGGCACGGAACCCTTAATATAAGTAATATGATGTGACACCATAGATAAACAGCACTCGACCGTCCTCGAATTTCTATAATACGAGCGCTTTAGGGGCTGTCCATTAATCAAGTGGTGATTATTTCAGCACTTTTTAACCCCCCCTCCCCCTTGGTGATACATGGTGAGGTTTAAGACTAGTCCCCCTTACACCCAAATCACGTGATATATTACTACAGCCCCCCCTCGCCCCTTGTGATATTTCATGATTTTTGACGAACCTCCCTCCCCCCTTTCGAGCCTCACGTGATTATTGGACGGCCCCTTAGCTACTGTCCTCTGTGTAATCGGTCGAATAGTATCGAAAGCTCCCTTCGGACGTACCTACCATTTAAATCAAGGATCATTTTTTATCGAAGGCACAGAACACAGAAAAGAGGCTAGAAGAGCGATGTCGCCAGTCTTGCCCCCACTTTTCGTCCGCCATACACGAGATCGAAATATTAGACCAAATATACAAAATTGCACACACTTGCATTTTAAACATGCCAATCAGAACGCTCCAATATAACTTATCACCAATTACGAACCATAATAGACAAGTGGGTTACATAAGAAACGTGTAAAAGTGATTTTAATTTGATTGGCAAAAAGTTATTTACTATCGATATTGAAAAACACCAAGACTATTTATTGAAATGATACTGGAATAATAATTTCTTTATATTATATAGATATTATAATTTTTCTCATGTCATTAATATTTAATAAAAAGCATTAAATTTTTTATGCTTGTGAATTATTATTATTAATGATTTAAAATAAAAAATGTAATTTTCTATTGCAATATTAGGTATATAAAAACAGATTCTTTAGCTACACCACACTCATTATAAAATTAATATGCAAATGCATACTGAACGAAGACAATATGATAGTCTGGAACAGGGTCATTCCCTCAGGAAGCACCCATGCACGAGCATGACGCATGACATGAGTCAGCCATCGCTTTGCCCGAGTATATTTTAAGGGCACACACGATATACTGTGATTACGCCTGTACGGTTCCGTACAATTTTGCCTTGTTTACATAATTATTGAGGTCATCATTCACTTTACGTTATTGATTATTATATTAATAAAATGAGTGCGAATTTAGCAACCGTGTATAACTAACGTCCAGTAACAACCACTTTAACTTACTTTACTGTGTACGTGAATAAATGGTGTTAAATTATCTCAAGATTTCATCTTTCTGCACTCCACAACTCTATATAAACAATACTACTCCAGTAATTACAATACCCAACTAACATCGTCTGTACAGCATTACAAACTGTACATTGTGGTCCTTCGAGGAAGAACAGGGGGTAAGTGTTTATTGCTTTCCATTTGCGATAGCGAATCGGTTTGACTGGCCTCCCACAAGCGGGTCTCACCAGTTCAATTGAGAAGGCGCAAATATCGTTCTTGGATTTCAAAGCATTTATCCACCTATAAGCGACTATCGAAGTCACTTATTTTAACTTACTTACTATCTAAATTTAACTTAATCTAACGAGATGGAACATCTGAAGATACAAGTAGCAACCTTCGAGAATATCAAGTCATTGTGTACTAACTACAAAAAAGACAGTGCTTGTAGAAAAACCGAAAGTTACTTAGAACAACGTTTAACCAACCTGGAAAAACTATGGGGAGAATTCAACGAACGCCATGCAACAAAACTAGTACCTATTGAAAACAAAGAAAGTATTAGCTATTTCGTAACGAATACTTATGAAAAAACTAAGCAGATGTACGAAAGTACTAAAGCACATATGGAGAATTTATTATCAGTCCTACGAAGACAACAACAAAACATCGACGTTGATTTAACTACTCTGATTGAAGATAAAACTGATGAGAAGACTAAAGAACTTATGTTACAACAAGAAGCGAGATTTAAAGCTTTGAATAGAACTATGAAGAAGATTAACCTAGAATTCATCACAGAGAAGTGGGAATTAGAAGACTACTTATCGACGTTGAAAACTAAGTGGGATAATATTGAAAAAACTCACTGGGAAATAGAAGGTATTATTAAAGATCAGAGCTTAAAAGAACAATATAACCAGAGGTTTGAAGACATTGAACAAAGGTATGACGATGTAAGAAAAACATTAAACAGCAAAATGTGGTCAAATGTTCATTATCAACGAGCAACGCCACAGATAGAAATTCCTGAGTTTTCCGGAAACTATATTCAGTGGATATCTTTCAAAGATATTTTTTATGAAGCCATACATAGCAACCCTACAATTCCGAAGTCTCAAAAAATGCAACATTTAAAAACGAAGCTAAAGGGTGAAGCCGAACGTCTTATCCAGCATCTATCTATAAACTCTGATAACTACGATTCGTGTTGGGAGATACTGACACACCGATATGATAATCGTCGTCTACAGTTTACATCATTCCTGAACACCATGCAGAAACTACCTGTGATTCAACAACCGAATGCGTATAACATCAAAAGAATATACGATAATATAACCGAAAGCTTAAACGGTCTCAACAACATGGGAATTGATGTGTCGAGCTGGGGACCGATTATTGTACACTATATGTCACAAAAATTGGACACGATAACATTTAATGAATATATAAAGGATATGCAAAATAACAGAGAATTACCTAATTTACAAGAGTTTTTATTATTTTTAGAAACCAAATTTATAGCTTTGGAAACAATGAAGAACTGTCAAATGGATGCTTTGAACCAACAACAACGAGTACTGAACAAAAGTTATAATAAACCACCAAACAAAAATTATTTTGGGAAAACCAGTAACAACTATAAATCTTTTAACAACAACAATAACTATACGAAGAAATCGACCTTATATGAAGGTAACAGAGAAGCTACGAAAACATTTCATACGTCATATGGACAATGTCCTCTATGCGACGGCGATCATGTGTTGATGCAATGTGATAAGTTTATTAACCTGGACAGCGCACATAGAAACAAAACAGTCGCAAAACTCAAAGTCTGCAAAAATTGCCTCTATAGTCACGGCGACGCAAACTGCACGTCGGTGAAAACATGCAAGGAATGCAATGCTAAACATCACACATTGTTGCACGTGAATATGAATAAATTTAACTTAGAAATATCAGGGAAAAATTTAGGTAATAACATGCATCCTAAACCCTCTACATCAAGTCAACAAGGGGTCCATCATTTATCTTCAAAGGATACGGAAATTCTTCTAACTACCGTTCAAGTCAAAATAAAATCAATAAATGGCACTTACATAACGATGCGAGCACTTCTCGATCAAGGTTCCCAGGTCAACTTAATAACGGAAAATGCAGCTCAGCAACTTCGACTTCCTAGAGAAAAACTGCATGCTACAATAGCGGGAGTGGGGTCCGTAGCCGGAAGCTGTAAAGGCCGCTTGAATATAGATTGTAAATCCATATACTCTGATTACAATTTTGAGGTTCAAGCACTCGTCCTTAAAAAGCTAACAAACAACCTTCCTAACTACACTATGAAAAAAGTTAACTGGACGCACTTACAAAACTTGAAACTCGCTGATCCAGATTACAACGTATCAAGCTCTATCGATCTTCTGCTCGGAGCTGATGTTTACTCGAACGTCCTTCTGGATGGAGTTTTAAAAGGAGGTCCAGGCCTACCAACCGCTCAACAAACTCATTTAGGGTGGATTTTATGTGGTAAACTGAACACGTATCGCTGCTACGCGACTCTAGTTGATACAAATGACTTATCCAAATACTGGGAAAGTGAAGAAATAACTCAGCAATCTTCAGAAATCAATCAAGAAGATCAGTGTGAAATATACTACAAAGAAACTACTAAAAGAGGTCCCGATGGAAAATATATAGTAAAAATGCCT